GATCACAAGGCAAAAATGGTGATCAGAAAGTCCGCTCACCTGGGCAGAAGTTTTAATTCTCATTTTCTCACACCTGCACCTCCAGAAAGGGGACTGGCTGAGGCCCCAGCCACCCTTCCTCTCTGCCCCACGGTCTCCTCTCCACGCCATGTGTATCAAACTCAGGAGACTGCAGAGGCCTAGCAGCTCACAGCAGAGAGGACCTGGTTTGAAGAGTAATGAGAACTGTTTGGAGGGCAGGCGTTCCTCACATCATCTCTTTCAAGAAGGAAACATTGCCAGATCTCGCAACTTAAAAAAAAAACTTATCTATTATTTTTATTTATTTTATATTTCATTATTTTTATTTTGTGTGTATGAGCATATTGCCTGAATGTATGTAGGTGTACCCGTGTCATGCAATGGCCACGGAGGTCAGAAGAGGGTGCCAGATATCCTGGAACTGGAGTTATGGGCAGTTGTTAGCCACCATGTGGATGCTGGTAATCAACCCCAGATCCTCTGCAAGAACAGCCAGTGCACTTAACTGCAGAGCCATCTCTCCAGCCCCAGATCTCTCAACTTTTAAGAGAAACCACAAATCCAACTTTTTATGGAAAAAAGTCTGATTTTCAAATACTGATAGCTAATTTTAATGTTTTCTATTCTTTGTCTTCTATTTCACTTTAAAATAACGTTATTTTTACAATAATTTTGAGATTCACTGAAATAATGGCAAAGGTAGCACAGAGAGCTGCCATTTCCCAAGCCTGATCTTCCCTTTTATTAACATCTTACATTATTATGCTGCATTTACTGCAATTAATGAATTCCTACTGATGCATTGTTACTACTAGTTTATTTAAACTTCCTTAGTTTGTACCTAATGTCCATTTTCTGTTCCTGCACCCTCTCCATGCCCCACATGACATTGCATTGTTATGTACTTAGGTTCCTCTTAGAAGCATCATCATCCTCTTGATGATCTTGCTATTTTGAAGGAGAGACCACATTCATGTTTTATTATGCCATATGATTAGAACTGTTCTGTTTTATGATTAGTTACTTCTATTGATCTCTTACTATGTGTGACTTATAAATTCTACTTTACTATAGGTATGTAGATAGAGAAGAAAACACAGAATGTATAGATTTCAATGCTATCTTCACTTTCAAATATACACTAGAGGTCTGAGAATATAGTCCATGTGGATAAGGGAGAAGAACTGTATTTGGAGTTCTTCTCAGTACAATCCTCCTTAATGTATTCCTACCCATCTTTTAAGTTTCATCCCCACCTGTATCCTCCATCTCACAGTGCAGACTCATGGTACTACAGATCAGCACCTGCAGATCCTATACAATGCCATCCATCCTTTCTCTTGTCTCCGCTCCCTCTGCTGCTGCTCTCTATGTGTTGATGTCACTATCAGTTATGCTTTAACCATCTAAGCTGAGCAGTGGGCCTTCCTATAACCTTATCTACATTAAGGAAATTCCTGTGAATCCCCTAAAATAACCCATGCATGTCCCCACTGTGACATTCATTCCTCTCTACTGTTCATTCCCAATATTCATTGGTTGCTTTGAGAGTTCCTCAAAACCAAGGTCTTCTTTTTTTGACTTGCTTTTTTATCTCCCATGTCTGTAGAATGTGTATATTAAACCTCTAGTAGTGTTTTTGAATGAATGACAAATAAAAGTCCAGAATTACAGACACCAGATTTCTTCTTTGCATGTTGAGTCTTTCTGTCCAAAGTTGCTATATTCTGCTTATATAATGGTTGTATGGTGCTTGACATTTTAGTAGCTCCAGTGTTCTAACAGCTGAAGTCACATCTTGTTTCTCCTGTAGTTTCTACAGCAGTGTCTTACATATAGTGGGTATTTAATAAATCATATTTAATGAGCAAAAGAATGAAGAAATAAGGCTACAAATATAAATGAGTGTCTTACCTTCTTGTATGTAAGTACACCATGTATGCAAGGCCAGAGAGGTGTTGGATTCCCTGGAGCTGGAGTTATAGAAGATTGTTAGCTCCTTGTGGGTGTTGAGATCCAAACCTGGGTCATCTGTAAGAGCTGTCAGTGCTCTTAACTGCTGAGCCATCTCTTCAGCCCTTGAGTAGAAGAACAAATTTAAATACAACCATTTAAAACCAATAAGCTACTTGACTTTTCCTCAATAACAAAAGAAGAATTCAGATCTTGGACAGATTTCCCATAAAAGATACACTCAATTACCATTAAAAGTAACTGTTGTATAACACAAAATATGTTCTTTCCTCCATCTTAAAAACCCAAAAGTTCATACATCACAATTTTTTTTCTTCTTTGAGATAGAATTTCACTATGTAGACAAAGCTAGCCTTGAGTTATGGTGATGCTCCTGTTCCTCAAGCTCCAGAGTGCTGGAATCACAAGGTGTCATATGCCACCACACCTAGCTTAAATCCAGGAGTGTATCCTCCACCTCACATACAGACCCATGGTACTACAGATCAGCTCCTGCAGATCCTGTATAATGCCATCCATCCTTTCTCTTGTCTCCACCCTGGCTGCTGCTGCTGCTGCTGCTGCTGCTGCTCTGTGTGTGTGTGTGTGTGTGTGTGTGTGTACAAGTGTGCAAGTGTGTGCAGAGGCCAGAGGAAGACATCAGGTGTCTTGCTCTATCATTTTAGACCTCACTCTCTTGATACAGGATCTTTCACTAAACCTGGAGCTAGGCTGACAGCCAGTAAACTCCAGGAATCCTCCTGCCTCAGCTCCCTGCCCCAACACTGGGGTCCCAGGTACATGTGGTCCCACCCAGCTTTTTATTTGGTTGCTAGGGCTACGAACTCAGGTGGTCCTGCTTGAACTGTAAGGACTCTCAACAGCTGAGCTGTCTCTCTAGTCCCATGGATTTTAAAAACAGTATTTTTCTCCACCCATAATGAAATACAATGTTTTAAATGCCTCCTGAAGAGAAGTGAACAGGAAACAACCAATTTTTGTTATTGAAGATGATATGTTTTGAGACAGGGTCTACCACTGTAGCCCAGGTTGGCTTTAGCCTCTGAGTGCTGGAATGACAGGCATGAAATGCCACACACAGCAAAACAGTTGTTTTAAAAGGTGGAAAATAAACTTACAGCAGGATAGATTACTGTTTTTACCAAAGCCAGCTGCTGTAGAAAAGCCTCACTTTGAGAAAGGTGAACTGGGAGAGAATTTAGTTCTTTTTCAGTTCACAATTGGTATTTGATTAGAACAACCTGTAGAGGGCGTCCTTGGACCAAGAGCCATAGAGGTTGGAGCAATACTAAAGGAGAAAAATTTCAATGAAAATCACACAAGTCAAAGAAAATGTCCACAGTGTTGTGAAATTATTATCTTTAACGGACTGACACTGACTTCACAATGTTAAAGTGTTTTAAAGTTTGTCCAAACTATTAAAAGATTATATAAATGACTATTCACCGAAACAAAAAGGTAAAATGTTGGAGAAAAACTTTGTTTTTTGAGACAGGATCTCATGTAGTCAGACTGGTCTTGAACTTGAACATTATACTCGGCTCTTCCTACCTCTACTTCCCAAGTGCTGATATTTCAGGTGAGAGCAACCACACCTGATTTAAATATTTTGTTTTAAAGAGAGAATGTTTGTGAAAAGTTGGAGGAAAAGAGTCTCAGTTATGACTTACAACATGGAGGACTCCTTAGGAGAAAAATAGGCTTTGAAACAGAGTGCCTGTGATTTGAACTCTGACTCTTGTAACCAGCTAAACATCTGCCGTTAACTGACTGGACTTCTAAAGCTGTATTCGCCCATCAGTCCAGTGAGAATAATAACAGTATCTACCTCAAAGACGTGAACAGATAATTAAGCACTGAAAAGAAATTTTACAATGAAGACACTGTGAGCTCAAATCAATCATAATAGACAGTCATCTTGTCTAGCCCCCTATCCCCTTTTTTCCCTTTTTTCTGTGAGTTGGGTAGCTGGACTTATTTCACAATTGTAAATGTGCATTCTTTCCTTTCTAGTAACTTCTCATGACCTAACATTTATTGAACACATGTATGTTCAGCTTCTCTTTTGTAGTTTCTGTTTGCTTTTCCCTGCTGAGATGCCGGCTGCTCTACAAAGGGCTGAATGAAACAGCATGCCCAGGTCTACACACTCATCCTCGGGCATTTGTCACAGAAGCATCTGGGTGCTAAAAAACAAAGAGAAGTAAATAAAACTTGTCCTGAGCCTGAAAGCTTTCTATGTTTTTGAAAAGCCTTTTGCTTTCACTTTGCACATCCTAGGAGTTCGGCAAGAGGCATAAGTAAATCCTCAGTTCATGGGCTGGGTAGGTAGGTGATGCTGGAGCCACTGCCAGGCAACTGTGCTTCCCACAAGGTATTTCCAGAGCCTTGGTCTTGTCACCAGCTTTTATGATTTCAGGCCCTGCACATTCGCTCCTTTAAGGGAGCCCTCAGCGGGTCCGCCTCAGCTATCATCCAGGACCTGGAAACTTTTCTAGACTAGGTTGGGTTATCTGGAAGGCAAACCACGCCACCTGTTGGGTGTAGGTCAAGTGTAGAACGAATGTCCAGCGCCCGCCGAGCGCTTGCAATAACAGCTCCACTAGCCGAGCTGAGTCTCGGTTTTTAATAGGATGAGAGAGCTCAAACTGTCAGCTAGAGAATGAGTTTGCAGGGAAGGCAGGCACACACCGAGAGAAGCGATACAGTTAGTAAGGAAAAAGGCGGACTATGCTGTCAGTCCCCGGGTGCAGGAGGGAGTCGTGACCACCCTCTTTGACGGCTGATCAAGCCCAGAGTTTTCCGTTCACCGCCTGTCCCCTAATCCATGCCTCTTCTGACCAGGGTCCCAGAGAGTTCCCAGAGTCCTTCGGGTGCGTTTCTCGGTAGGTGCCCACAACCCCGGCGCTCAGTCCACCTGGCGCTGGGAGGCAGAGAGGTCTCCCTCGTCCCACAGCTCCGCCCACGCGGCCCCACGGCGCCCCCTAGTGGCTGCGGGCTCCGCCTCGGGCCGCTGTCGCCGCGCCAGCCCTTCCCGGTTCCTCCTTCCAGCCCGGGACCCTCCAGCTGTTGGCGCTGCGGGACGTGCTGGCACAGTCAGCTTTGCCAGCCTCGTTCCCTGCGGTCCCGGCTCCCGCCCGGCCCCCTCCTTCCGCGTGGCTAGTGCCCGCGCATCCACTCCCTCCTCCCCGGCTCTCCCAGGCTCACTGGGACAGGAGACTGCAAGTCCAGCGGGCTAAGTGGGAACAGCTCCAAGCCCCGGGATCTGAAGCCGACCCGGGAACTTAACGGGCGCAGGTTCGAGAGGTGCGTCAGAAGGAGGTGCACCACCAGCAAGGAAGTCCAGAGCAGCATGGCCAGGAGAAGCGCCTTCCCTGCAGTGATGCTCCGTCTCTGGAGCATCCTGCCTTGCCTGCTCCTGCTGCGGGCGGAGGCCGGGCAGCCGCGGGAGGAGAGCCTGTACCTGTGGATCGACGCTCACCAGGCGAGGGTGCTCATAGGTAAGTAACGTCCAGTGTCCAGTCTTCCCTCTCTGTCCTCGGTCTTTCTATAAGAGCAGGAATACATGCATTGAGTGTGTTTTAAAACTTAACTTCCAAGAGCAATTGCTCTCTCCTTTAAAAATCTACAATTTTTCTATATGAAATTTTGAGTTTCTCTCGCATGAAACCAAAGCCAAAACTAGGGGTTGGTAGCCCTTACTGCCTTGAGTTGTTAAATGAACCCAGCATTTGTACAGGTAACTGCAGTCCTCCCCTCCACGCCCCAAGCCTGTGTGTTAGCGTCGTTCCTAAGGTACCCAGAGGGAAAGTAACTTTAGTAGTGTCGTTAGTACCAAAGGCAGGTGCTTTGTGAAAAGAAGTGACCTACTTTAATTCTTTCGTTTTTCTTTCTGCATGAAACTTTTTTCTTTGAAGTACATCTAGTTTGATAGGTTTATTATTTTAAAAACAGGATTTGAAGAAGATATCCTGATTGTCTCAGAGGGGAAAATGGCCCCCTTTACACATGATTTCAGAAAAGCCCAACAGAGAATGCCAGCAATTCCTGTCAATATCCACTCCATGAATTTTACCTGGCAAGCTGCAGGGCAGGTAAGTTCTGATAACCAGAGGCAGAGAAAAATTGCCCTTTAATATTACTACTGCCTGGTGATGAATAGCAATATTTGCATAGTGAGTGATGTGGTACAGTTTACAATTTTATAGAATTTCTCATCTTTATTTAAAAGGAAATAAAGAATCAATTTAATTTATTTAAAATTGTCATATAAATGAAAGACTCTCAAGGGGGCCATGTGCCTATTTAATAAAGTTTGGTGTCTTGAGGTTGTTGTAAACATAATCCCCCAAATATCAATATCACTGTTTCTGTGATCATGAATATTAAAAGTGAGCAAAACATCTTACAGACTATTTCTATACTATAAAGTAACCACCTGTGACATTATCTATACTTTACACTACATGTTTGTGTCTATAGGTATTTTTCACATGGTTTTTTAAAAGCTGATGTGTGAATATTGTTCTCAGAAATGTGAATGCTATATATTTCTGGTAGAAATTCACAGATTCAAAAGATGTAGTATAGAAATACAAAAATCAAAGGCTACTGATTTTAAGTGACCATTCAAAATGCTTTCTTAGGGAAAAAATACAATCTATTTTTATGAAGCATTCCTTTTGGTCCTTAGCATGTAACCATCTTTTGTATGTTATGTTTTATAATCTTCATTGTGATGTTATTGGGCTCTTATTTGGGGAGAATAAAATGTTTGCATGAGTTTAATTTCTGTGGCACAATGGGAGGAAACTTTAGAAAACAAATGGTAAGTAATAAATTCTTCTGCTCAGTAGTTGGTGAAATGTGTCTACTATGAAAATCATTGTAAGTATAATTAAATTCATATATTCAGTTTTTTTTATAAAGTTACTTAAATAGCTATTTTCAAGAAAAGTGTGATTTTAAAAACACTTTATAAAAAGCAGCTATTTTAAATTGGGAAACCACTTTGGCTCCCTCTAATTGCCTGCTAGCCTGCTATAGCTGCTATAGTAGATGCATGACAGTTTTAGCTACCTTTTTTCCCCTTAGGTTTGTTCTTTTTATGTTTTTGTGGTTTGTTCTTTTTGAGACAGGGTCTCCCTGTAGCCCCAGCTGGTCTGGAACTCACTATATAGATCAAGCTGGCCTTAAACTCACAGAGATACGCCTGCCTCTGCCTCCCAAGTGCTGGGATTAAAGGCATGCACCACCACGCCCAGCTAGTCTATATTTTTAAGATTTTTTTTTTCCACCTTTCCATTAATGGATCCATCAGAAACACTAGAAAGTAACTCAGGGGGCTGGAGAGATGACTCAGTACTTAAGAGCACTGACTGTTCTTGCAGAGGACCTGGCTTCCCAGAATCCACATGGCAGCTAACAACCATCGTAATTCCCATGCCAGGGGCTCCAACGCCCTCTTCTGACCTCTGTGGGTATTGCATGACACATGAGCACTTACATACATGCAGGCAGTATACTCATACACCTAAAATAAAAATAATAAATAAAATATTTTTAAAAGAAAGTAGCTCAAACCTCACCTAATCAGCTGCAAGTGCTGCTAATTAAAGGGAGGTAGAAAATGCCAATAACTCTCCCTCTTCCTCCTCCTCCTCCTTCTTCTTCCTTTGCTTATATGTTTGTTTTCTGAAGAATTTATTTCAAATTCTTCCCTTGCATGCAGTGTCATCTATTTCTTTATAACACTTGCCTATTTGCAAGTGCTGGCTTACTGCTGACTACAAAATGGATTAGCATGTCTAACAATCTTAGGAATATGTCTTTGTAAGGAGTTAGAGAAAATGGTGGATCTGGCACAAAGATGAAGCGCCTAATTTTTTATTTCCTCCTGCTTAAAAGCTGATTGCCCTTATGGATTATCTCTTTATGTAGAACAAGGTTAGCACTCATTTAAAGTTACTTTGTTCTCTTTTCTGGAGAAGTAACTCCAGGTCAGTATGTAAAATCTAGTGTGTTTTTCTTATGGGAGAGAATAAAGAACGGGAGAAACCCTCGATGCCAAAATAAATGCAATTTTAAATCTTCAAATGACTAATTTTACTCCCTAAAATTACATGATTCTAGTACCATAAGTTTTGAAACACCAAGAAAATTTGAAGATGGGAAAAAAATGACTTCAATACCAATTAAGTATTTTGAAAGGCATGTGTGACTAAAGCCAAACCACATCAAAACATTTATGTGGAAAATGAAAAGTTCACCCTATTATCTAGTTATTTCATCCAAATGATATCACACAGGTAAGTGTTTCAACAGCGCAGAAACAAAACATATCTGATTAATGAAATTTTAAACTTTAACTGTTTTAGCAACATGTGGGGCAAAGTTAAATAAAGATAAAAGACCCAACAATCAATTATCTATTTCTAGTAAAACATTTTTCCAGTCACCAAAGGTGTTCTGAAAGCCATTTAAGGCATATCTCATGAGCAACTTCAGGCTAGTACAAATACAGATTACAAGAAATTCATTTTCCCACATGAAATTGATCAACTCTTTTGCAAGTGTTTTCAGTGTGTGGAGAATTGTGTGGACTCATATGTTGAGTGTGTGTGTGTGTGTGTGTGTGTGTGTGTGTGTGTGTGTGTGTACTAACATTTTTGCAAGACAATATAACTTGGATGGTGAAAGGCTGGATTCAAACTTTTAGAGTGGGAAATTTTATTTCCAGAAATGAACCCTAAGGAAATTATCATGGCCATGAATAAAAATTCAGTTCAAGAACAACTAGAGGTCCATCAATTGTAGTAGAAGTATATAACGGAACAATAATATGGATACTCTGGGCATCCATCTGACCATGGAAACAATGTTCATGACACATTAGTTGGTCACATAGTATATTTTGTTTGATGCCATTATGAAATAGGTTGACTGGCAAAGGAAAATTCATTTGATCAATGTCTGATCTAAGGTATAAACACTGGTCCAGGGGCTGGAGAGATGGCTCAGAGGTTAAGAGTGCTGACTGCTCTTTGCAGAGGACCCCGGGTTCAATTCCCAGCACCCACATGGGGGCTACAAACCGTCTTTAACCCTAGTTCCAGGGGAATCCGAAGCCCTCTTCTGACCTCTACAGCATTGCATGACATGGGTGCACTCAGTTACATGCAGGCAATATACTCATACACATAAAATAAAAATAATAAATAAAATATAAATAAAACATTTTAAACAGTGGTCCTATAGTGCTTATTACATTTGGCTTTTCGTCAATGTGTTCAATTTGTCATTTAAAAACTCACTTCATATTACATGTGTATGAGAATCATATGAGTCTAAAATTGTATGATGCTCTATATTATAAATAGTTTGTCCATATTTATTATCGGGTATCGTTTTTACACTACACATCACTCCATAAAATGGAAGAATAAGTGGTTTTCACAGGCGATTGTATCTACAGAGACCAGATATCTCAGTGATCCTTATATGATCTCACCAGTTTCTTTTTCTGTTCTCAAAAATGTGCTTTTGAAGGCTTTCCTGCCTGAAATCATTCTATTTGAATTTTCTTTTTCTATGGGCAACTTTCCTCCATTTTTTTCCTCCCACATAAAGTACTTTTTCTGACTTGCTCCTTCTAAAAACGTTTTGCTGAGAGAAGAATTTCCATTGAAAAGGCTTAAGCTTAAAGGCTTTTTAGCTATGAAGAGGAAAGACCCATTATTACTGTACACAAGTTTTTTTTAAGTGTATGAGTGTATTGTCTGCATGTAGGTAGGTGTACCCGCAGTGTCCTGAAGTGCCTGCGGAGGTCAGAAGAGGGTGTCATATCCCCTGGAATTGGAGTTACAGACGGTTGTTAGTCATCATGTGGATGCTGGGAATCAAACCTAAGGCCTCTACAAGAGCAGCCAGTACTCTTAACCAGTGAGCCATCTCTCCAGCCCCCATACACAACTTTTTAATAGCTGGTAATTTTCAATGAGTTGGTACCTTTTTCTTTTTCCCAAAATTTAACACAGACAAAGACTGTAAACAACCATTTTGATTTTCTAAATTAAGCACTAATTGAACATTTTATTTGGAAAATAACATTTCCTAAACCCCATGGCTTTCAAGTAAAATTTTAAAGGGAAGTTTTATTGGACAAATCTGAATTCTAACTTTTGGACATCACTGTTGATTTCCATATGAACCAATTTGATGTAAGGCCAAAATGTTTTGTTGATTAAACTCTACAAGTAGATCTTCATTTATAAGGACTTCATCTTTTAAGGAGAATATATTCTACATTTGCATAAATGTTTTAAGACACTATGAATCTGGTATTGAGTTAATGAGATTTCTCATTTATTTAGTATTTTTGGAGACATCTCTTTAGATAGTTCCTCTGTATTCTAGGCAGTGGTGATGGATTCATGCTAAGCCATCTGTATTGGTTTTTCTAACCTTTTTACGACCAAAGGTCTGAATTTCTTAGCTGAATGGCAAGGCCTGGAGTGAAATTGCTATCCATGGAATAGAAATTCTTTGGGTGAATATAATCAGCCAATAAAGACTTCAAATCCACCACCCAATTTACTGAGCAAGCTCTAGCCATTGGTATCAGCAGGTCCGATCTTGGAGAAAACTTTTGGATATGAAAGCACATATAATTCTTACAGCTATCAGAAGCCAGTATATCTTCATTTTCTCAGTTTTGAGATGTTTAAAAATAAAAATTTGAAGTTCTGCTGTGGATATAAGAAAGAAAGATTTCTGTTTGCTATCCTGGGTATGTGTGGATTTTTAAAAAATGCTTTATTAGGCTAAACTGAAGAAACATGCTCCTTTGTGGATTTTTAAATTTTATTATATTATTATTGTTGTGTGTATTTATGGATATGGTGTCTGTGCATGTGGGTATGTGGGTGCTTGCACCTGGAAGCCAGAGGATGTGAGGTGTCCTGCTCTATCAATGTCTGCTTCAGTCCCTTGAGACAGGATCTCTCACAGAAATCTGAGCTGGGCTGTCAGCCAGCAAGCCCCAGTGATCCTTGTCTCCATCTGGCACACACGACTACTCCTGGCTTTTTACATG